CTTCAGTCCCAGTCTGGCATTTTTCCGAGTTGAGCAAGCTCATTTTACTTATGGGGAAACTGAAGCCCAGGGAGGTGATAAATTGCCTGGCAACAAAGATCCTTAAGCTGCAGGATGAGTTTTAAGGAATGTTCTAAAGATGCTTTGGACTGCAGAGAAAGGGTGGCACCAGATGGCTTCCAAGGTTGCTTTCAATTCCTGAGATTCTATGCCCCCTATGACTTGCCCAAGGTCACTCCAGGCTGGCTCCAGGCTCCACAGCTATCCTCCTCCTCTCTTCTCCCATCCTTCTCTGAAGTCCATCCCAACCTTCCTCCTCCCTTCTGCATATCCACAGCTGCCTCATTTCTGCAGGCTCTCCCACTCTCCTAGCGTCCTGCATCTCCAGCTGGAGCCCTTGGAGCTCATTGGGGCCAAGCCCCTGCCTTGACAGCTGAAGAATCAGAGGTACCCTGCCCAGGGTCCTACAGCCAAGCTAGGAAGTTTCTGAGGCAGGATTCAAACCCAGGGCTTTGGGACTCCAGCTCGGGTTCTACTCAGCACACTGCACTGACTGTCTTTCCATTCACTGTTTAGGTCAGGGATGCTTAGGATGGCAGGTTGATTTTAGGGGGACTGTAACTTGAGTGGGAAAAATTATATCATTATTTTCACTAACGTCTAATGGAAATTTAGCATTTCCTTCAGTTACTTAAAAACAGTATTGTGAAAAGGATTCCCTAGGCTTCAACAGCCTGCCTGGCACACAAGGGATCCAAGGGGCAAAACCCTTCCTCTTTGAATTTCAAGTCGGCCATCTTGAAAATGAAGAGCTCAGACCATGGGATCTGGTCTAAGATGGAAATGAATTGACAGAATGACCTAGGCTCTGAAGGAGCCATCTAATCCACCCTCCCATTCCCAACAAGTCCACATGTCCGACAAGTTGGTGGGGACCTTCAGTGAGGCAGGCCACCCTACCACTGCCTCCATTTTTTAGAAGCTTTCAGTTAGCTTGACATGTAATTGGTAACAGTCAATATTGTCTCCACATGTTGTGTTTCCCTCTTCATATTTTTTTTTATTTTAGTCATTTGTTCTTCCTAGATTTTGAAAAAAAAAATCCCATAGTTATTGGTTTTTCTGGCTTTGAGTCTTAAAAAAAAAAAGGCACCTACGTAGCCCAGTGGATAGAGTACTGGCCTTGGAATCAGGAAGACTCATCTTCCTGAGTTCAAATCCAGCCTCGGACACTTCTTACTAGCTGGGTGACCCTGGGCAAGTCACTTAACCCTGTTTGCCTCAGTTTCCTCATTTGTAGAATGAGCTGGAGAAGGAAATAGCAATCCCTCCAGTATCTCTGCCAAGAAAACCCCAAATGGGTCATGGAGAGTCACAGGCGACAGAAACAACTGAACTCATATTCACCATCTCAAACATCTTTTTAATTTTAATTATCATTATGTCTTCTTTGATTTCCAAGCCTTCTGCATTTGTGTTTGTCTTGAAGTTAGTAACTTGTTGATTTTCTAGGTTTTTTTTTTTTCAGTTGAATGGTCAGTTCACTGGTCTGATTTTTTTTTATTAATATAAATTTTCCCTGAAGGGTTGCTTTAGCTGTATCCCACCAATTTTTTAATACCTTATCATTATTAGAAGAATTTTCTTCTACAACTTGTGTGACTCACTCATATTTTAGAATTGTGTTAGTTGGTCTCCATTTAAGTCTTGGTCCTTTGTTCATATTTCCATGATCAATTCTAGTTTTTATGGTATTAGAGCCAACATAGCATAACTTAACTCAACAAAACACAAGTTTAACATGCTGAGAGGCAGCCTCAAAGCCAGGTAGACCTGGGCTGAAATCCCCAGTTCTCATGCATGGTGGCTGTGTGTGTCACTCAGAACAAAACACTCAGCCTCTCAGAGCTCTAGGAAACTCTCCAAGTGCAGAAGGTTATGCATTGGTGGAAGGAGTTTCAACAGGCAGTAGTTCCTTATACTGATGAAATCCTGGGTCCAGTCACTATCCCTATTACCTCCAAAGTATGGGCTTCATATTTCTGCCTTTCTGCATGCATTGATGAATTGGGTTCTACATACAGTCCCATGAGGTCACTTTTTACAGAGATGATAGGCAATGCTGAAAAGGATCTATATTTCACAAGATACTCATTCATTAATCATTTGAGATCCATCATATTGAATTTTTCCACCTTTCTGTTCAGAACCTTAACTTCTTTATTATTTACTTTTCTATTAGACTTGTCCAGGTCTCAAAGAGATATGTTGAATTCCCCACCAATGGTTGTCTACTATCCAGGTCCTCCTGTAATTCATGTAGCTTTTCCCCTAAGTACAAATACCGTGTGGCACACATGTGTAATATAAACATTGTTTCATTATGTTTGATGACTTTAAACACAATGTAGTTTCCCTTCTTGACTCTTTTCCCCATATCTATTTTTATTGTTGCTGTGTCTGAGGTCAAGAATGCCAATCTTGCTTTTTGGGGGATTCTGTTGAAGCATAATAAATGATATGTGCCCATATTAATAGAACCAGAGAGAGAGAACCCAAACAACCCAATCTAAGAAAGACATCAACTGAGCAAACCCAGATTTCAGTGGATAGAGAAGTGACTTCTAGTAGACACTCAAAGAATAATTATCCCAGGGAGATAAAAATGGTTTACAAAAATAGAGAAAAGGGGCATCTTCCCTTCTCTTCCCATCTTATCCAACTCTTAGCCTTTTATACAGAGAAATAAAACCATAGACCAATATCACCAGTGGATATTGATGCAAAAATATTGAATAAAACATTAGCAAAACAGGACAGTCAAAGAATTATTCACTGTGACCAAGTTGGATTTATGCCAAGAAGGGAGGAGTGGTTCAACATTAGGAAAATGATAAACATAAAAAAATTATATCAAGGGTGACGAAGAGCCATTTATTAAGCACCAGCTATGTGCCAGGCACTGCTCTAAGTGCTTTTACAAATGTTACATCATTTAATCCTCACAACAACCCTGGGAGGTAGGTGCTTTTATTGTCCCCATTTTAGAACTGAGAAAATGAAGGCAAATGAGTTAAGTGACTTGCTCAAGGTCACACAACTAGTAAGTGTCAGAGGCCAGATTTGAACTCAGGTCTTCCAGACACTGCATCCAACACTTTATCCTCTGCACCACCAGTAATAAAACAATTAAAACTCCATGCCTATCATTGATTCAGGGAGAAAAGCCTTTGACAAAATGTGCCAATTATTTATGATCGAGATGCCAGAGAACATGGGAACAAAAAGATTCTTCTATAACATAAAGCTTCTATTTAAACTCTGACAGCTGGAAAGGTTAAAGGTCATGCTGAGTCAGCATGTTTTCAGGCAAGACATGGGCTTGTGTGGAGGGCAAGATGAAGAATGAAAAAGAAAACTGAGCTTTAAACATTCTATTAGCTTTTGATAACTCTTCATAATTTAAATCAAGTAGCAAAGATGAAATCAATTATAAAATAAGGAAGAGAAAGGAAGAGAAAAGAAAGGTCTCATTATTTGTTTTCAAAATTTTTTTATTATGAAGTTGACAAATATCAAGTATGAACATTTCTGTATACTAAGAACAGAAGATAGATAGATATAGATATATAAAATTGGACACAGTAGTGCCAACATTGCCCTGTTTGTCTGTATCTCCTTCCAAACTTCCTTCCACTTTCTTCTGTGCATTTTTTAAAAATATCGATGATGTTAATTTCTTTATTTTCTTCTTTTTTGGCATAACTATCCTATTCCCTCAAAAAACACACACATACCCCACTCCCGTCCTCCCTTGTATCAAATAAGTATAATCAAGCAAAACAAATTCATGCATTGGTTGTTCCTGAATACCTTAGGTCTTTTCTACATCTGCAGTCTATCACTTCTCTCAGTCTTCTGGAGGCACAACTGATCATTCCTTCCTTATTTGATGCTGGAAGCTTTATTAATGATATCATAGGAGTAAAGCAAAGATATCTACTTTATGATGGAGTTCTAGAAAGACTAGCTATAGAAATATGAGAAGTAAAGGAAATCAAGCATATAAACCTAGGCAAAGAGGAGGAGAAATCATCTCCATTAGCCAATGACATGATTGCTTACATAGAAAACCCCAGAGATTCAACAAAAAAGCATAGTTTCAATAAAATAGGAAACAAAATAAACCAACAAAGAAGGTTTGTACATATCCCTACTAATCCAAGAAGAGAATTTTAAATCAAAATAACTTCAAAATACATTAAATGTCTAGGTACTAGTTTACCAAAATGCACCATAACAGTAATCTCCTTACAGAGAACCCACCACCCCACAGAAGAGGTGTTCCACTTTTAGACAGCCCTAATTAGTAGGAAGTTTTTCCTTGCATCAGGTCTAAATTGATCTCTTTGGAATTTCCACCCATCAGTCCTACTTCTAGGCCAGGCAGAAGAAATCAGACCTCTAATACCTAGCAGTATGAGATCAGGGAGACAGCATGGGACTTGGAGTCAAGAAGATCTGGGTTCAAATATGGCCTCAGACACTTATCAGTTGGGTGACTCTTGGCAAGTCACTTCATCTCTCTGGGCCTCAGTTTCCTCATCTGAAAAATGAGGGGGTTGGACTCAGTGACCTCTAAGGTCCTTCCAGCTCTGAATTTCTGATTCTATGATCTTCTAGTCTCCAATCTGAATGGCCCCAGTTCCTTCAGCTAATATTTATATGATCTCAATCAGAGGCCCTCTACTGCTTTAGCAGTTCTCCAGCTTCTCAATGTGTCCCTTCTAACATGTGGTAGGGAGAACTGAGGACTATGATCCAGATGTGATCTGACCAGGGTAGAGGACAACAACAGTATAGCCCAGAGCCTCAGTGTACCCAAGAGTGCCTTAGCCCCTTTGGTGGCCAGCTCACTCTGGGCTGGTGAGATTCAGGATTTGGGCAGGGATTGGACTAGTCCTCTAAAGTCCCTTACAACTTGGAAGTCAGTACTCTTCCTTGTCTGTTCCTTTCAGCCTGGGACACAAGATTGGAGAACCAGAAATTAGTGGAACAACAGGAAGCATCATCCGGCACATTTGTGGGGAGAGGAAATATTCTTCAGAATGACCTGGTGGAGGAGGGTCCTGTTGAGGAATTCAGGCTGTGGGAGCAAATGGCAGATCTTGCAATGGAAGCTCCAGAGGAAGTCCTTTCCCAAGAAGGGGACTTCAGTGAATTGACTCTCCTTCCCAAGGAAACCTCCAGTGCTCAGACAGGCGAGGAATATAATGACCTTGAGAGCAAATCCAGGCACACGAGCTCATGGTATCATAACAGAAGCAGGAATCTCTCCTATTACCAGCCAACTTTTATTCCACATCAGAGACTACAGAGCACTGAGAGAGCCTCTGAATGTGAGGACTATGGAAAGGCTGTTAGCCAGAACTCACATCCTGTCCAACCTCAGAGTGTTCATACTGTAAAGAAACCTTTTGAATGTAAGGAATGTGGAAAGTGTTTTAGCTGGAGTTCAGGACTTATTGAACATCAGAGAATTCACACTGGAGAGAAACCATACAAATGTAAAGAATGTGGGAAGGCCTTCAGCCAAAACTCAACTCTTACTCGCCATGACAGAATTCACACTAGAGAGAAACCATATACATGTAAGGAATGTGGGAAGGCTTTTACCTACTCTTCATCCCTTATTAAACATAACAGAATTCATAGTGGAGAAAAACCCTATGAATGTAATGAATGTGGGTCAGCCTTCAGGCATAGGTCATATCTCACTAAACACCAGAGAATACACAATGAAGAGAAACATTATATATGTACGGAATGTGGAAAGGCTTTCATACGGAGCTCACACCTTCTTCAACATCATAAAATTCATACTGGAGAGAAACCTTATAAATGTAAAGAATGTGGGAAGGCCTTCATCCAGATCTCAGCCCTTATTATGCATGAAAGAATTCACAGTGGAGAAAAACCTTATAAATGTGAGGAATGTGGAAAATACTTCAGTCAGAGCTCCAATCTTGCTCAGCATCATAAAATTCATACTGGAGAGAAACCTTATAAATGTAAAGAATGTGGGAAAGCCTTCAGCCAGAGCTCAGCCCTTACCACACATGAAAGAATTCACAGTGGAGAGAAACCTTATGAATGTGAGAAATGTGGAAAATCCTTCAGTCAACGCTCAAACCTCACTCAACATCAGAGAATCCACAGTGGAGAGAAACATTATCAATGCCATTGATGTTCACTCAGAGGAAGAACCTTTACTGTCTGAGGATTCATACTGGAGAAATGCTCTGTAGAAATGTAATGACCATGGGACAACTTTCACTTTGGAGAAGTCTTATTGAAAATTGTAAACACCACTCTGGACAGAAACCCTAAGAATCCAAGAAATGTAGAAAAGCCATCAAACAGTGGTCTCCCCTGCTCCACCATAAGTGAACTTGTTCTGGAGGGATTCCTATAAAGGTAAAGATTGTAGTATTGTGATTTCATGATGTGTTGTGGCAGAACTGTCTCAAAATGCAGTCAGACCACCTCTAATCCATGCATAGGCATTCATTGAGATGGACATCTCTCATGAAGCAGGCTAAGTTCCAAGAGGAACCAGCAACTTTAGTGAAAGTAAGATAGATTTGTATAGGGTAAAGATGTAATTACATAACAGAAATTATGAATATTAAAAAGGCAGGAGCAGTTTGTTAAGGGATTGTATAATAGGGGAGGGGTCCCAGCCTTAGTGGAACTCTACATGTGATTTCCGTCAATGTGTACAGAAAAGCCCATGTATGTAGTATGTGTGATAATGATATTATAATAAGCCTCTACGTATATGATAATAAGCCTCTCTAAATTCACCTAAAGGACAACTTTTGCTATTACTGTGCAGGCGCCTACTTAGGGAAAATCCCTTCTATTGTTTTGGGGTCCACATCCTGCTCGGGCATCCTGGTGGTGCTGCTTTCTGATTGGCTGACTATTGTGGTCCTGTCTTAGACTAGATGGATGTGGTTGTGTTTGAGTGCATGGACACATCTGCTGTTTCTGGGGGAAATATGAGTTCATGGACACACCTGTTGTTCTAGTGAGCAGTGACGCACATGTGAGGAAGTTAGGATAATGAGCAGTAGTGGGGGAGGGCAGTGGCTAGGTAGGGGCAGTGGGCCTGCTGTTCAGTGGGGCCTATAAGGAAGTTGGGATATTGGGGCTGGGGCCAGCTTTATTAGGATTCCATCAGTAGGAAAGGGATAAGTGGCCATGTCTAAGCTTAGCTTTCCTGCATCACCACAGAACAAGAAATGTGCCACATAAAATGATACAAAATGTTTCAATTATATAAATGAGAGGAAGAGACAGAAAGCCCCATAAGGAAAATCCTACAGAAAGGCCAGCTAAAAGACAGAAGTATTGACTAAACAGAAAACTCCTAGTATTCTAAATAGATACTACGGGCAAAAAAGTTCCAAGAAATCTTGGAGGAGGAGGAAGTATATTGTGATAGCAATTATAAATCCCCTGAAATGAGAATACAACTATTGCAAGAAGCCTGATGTCCACCATAGTTAAGAAACTTTTAAAGGATTAAAAGGAGGCAGCATGGTATGTTCTTTAGAGATCTGGCCCCAGAATTAGGAAAATTTGGATTTAAGTCCTGTCTCTGATACATGCTATCTATGGCTGTGTGCAATTCACCTAATCAGTCAATCAATAAACACCAAATGCCTACTATGTGCCAGGCACTGTGCTAAGTGCTGAGGATACAAAAAGAGGCAAAAGATAGTCTCTGCCCTCAAGGAGCTTACCATCTAGTGGGGTAGACAACATGCAAACAAATATATACAAAGTAAGCTATATAAAGGATAAATGGGAAATAACAGAGGGAACCTCAGTGACCCAGGTAGTTTTATAAAACTAGATGCCAACCTCAATTGATGGAGGGAGTTCACTCAGTGAGAATTCCCTATATCAATGGAATCACACGTACAGTTTTTAAAAAAAAAAAGGTTAAAAGGAGATATGAGGGAAATTCAAGTTCTTAAATATAAATTCAGAAATGCAAACAGGAGGAATCAGTTTAGAAGAGAAGTTGGAAAGTATTAACAAATAGTGGATACCCTGATAGACAGTGGTAGAAGTAGAACCCCAAAATATCAAGATGCAGCAAGAGATAAAAGAACAACATTGAAAGACAGAAAAATTGGAACAATTGAGATCTCAACAAACCAAAAGCAGGGAACTTAAAGAAAGAGCTTGGCCAAGGCCCAGAAGCAACCCATTTTAGTAGTCCTATGTTCAATAAATCTCCAAACACAGACTCCCAAGGGAAGGAGTTTTTGTTTTATAAGAACCTCTGGGAAAATTGGAAAGGTGGTTTCACTATTTATACTGGTTCTTTTTAAAATTAATTTTTGTTTTTTCTTCTGAACTTAAATGCCAAAAAAAAAATTTCAACATATACATCAGACACTGTGAATCTTCATTTTATACCCCCTTTCTTTAGTATATAATAAATTCCATGTTACTTTTAAAACTATCCTACTTGTCTTTGCTTCTTTCTGAAATTTCTTCTGTTTTCTTCTGTGTATTTTAAAATATTTAAATGAAAATGATGTTGTGTGAACACAGATTATAGCAACTTTTGTTTTTTGTTTTGTTTTACACTTTATTTTTCTTGAGGTTTTTTTGGTCTATCTTTTTTTCCCACAACATGACTATTATGGATATGTTTTGCATAACTACATATATATAATCTATTTGGAATTTCCTACTTTCTCAATGGGGGGAGGGTGGGGAGGGAGATAGGGAGAGAATTTGGAACTCAAAGTAAACATTTTAATGGACTTCTTTTGGCATCACTATTGCTAACATTCCCTTTCTCCCCTCCTTCCTCTCTCCATCAAAAAATGAGAAAAAGAAAGGAAATAAAAATCTATTGTAGGATATGGTGAAAGGTATTAGTGTAATTAAAAAGGAGGAAATGAAAAATAAAGAACTAAAATGTAAGGGGGTCCCTTAGATTGCCTCTTAGTTGGGGAATGGCTAAACAAATTGTGCTAGATGAATGTAATAGAATATTATTGGGTAGTTAGGAATCATGAAAGAGCCAGTATCAGAGAATCCTGAGAGGGGAGGGGGAATACACTGGACAGGGGAAGGAAGATTAGGGGAAAATATCTCACATCATCAAAGTGCACAAATAGACATCTGTACAAACGTGGAGGAGGAGGGCGGAGGGGAGCAGCTAACATCTGAACTTCCATCTGAACTGGCTAAAGGAACGAAAAATATACACACAGTTGGGTACAGAAATCATCTTACTTCATAAGGAAGTAAAAAGGGACAGGGATAATAGAAGTGGAGGGGGACTGATAAAAGGAAGGGCAGATTGGGGAAGGTGGTGATGAAGTAAAACACTTGGGAGCTTGTGAGGAGGGAAATGGTATGGGTAAGAGAGAGAGGGAGGGATAAACAACGGAAAAATAGCATGGGGGGAAATGTGAATGGGATAAGCACACCCATAAAAATGGAAGCAGATAGCAGAATGGATTAAAAAAAACGAGAATCCTACAATATGTCATTTACGAGAAACAGATTTGAAGCACAGAGACATACAGAATAAAGGTAAGGGGCTGGAACAGAATCTATTATGCTTCAGCTAGACCAAAGAAGATAAAAAGCATTATAAAATGTTAAATAGGTAATTTGGATTATATAAAATTAAAAAGGTTTTGCACAAACAAAACCAATTCAACCAAAATTAAAAGGAAAGCAGAAAACTGAAGGAAATTTTTGCAACAAGTATCTATGATAAAGGCCTCATTTTTCAAATATGTAGAGAACTGAATCAAATTTATAAAAATACAAGTCATTCCCCAATTGATAAATGGTCAAAGGATGTGAACAGGCAGTTTTCAGACAAAGAAATCAAAGCTATCTAAAGTCATGAGAAAAAAAAATGCTCTAAATCACTATTGATTAGAGAAATGCAAACTAAAACAACTTTGACTTGCTGCCTCACATTTATCAGACTGGCTAAAAGGATAAAAAAAGAAAATGATGGATGTTGGAAGGGATGTGGGAAAACTAGGACACTAATGCATTGTTGGTGGAATTGTGAAATGATCCCACCATTCTGGAGAGCAATTTGGAACTATGGCCAAAAGGCTATTAAACTGCATATACCCTCTGATCCAGCAATATTGCTACTAGGTCTGTATCCCAAAGACATAAAAAAATGGCGGGGGGTGGAGGGGGAGAAGGACCTATTTGTACAAAAATATTTACAGCAGTTCTTTTTGTGGTGGCTAAGAATGGGAAGTTAGAGTGATGCCCATCAATTGGGGAATGGCTGAACAAGTAGTGGGGTATGATTAGGATGGAATATTATTGTTCTCTAAGAAATGACAAGCAGGCTGATTTCAGACAAACCTGGAAAGATTCACATGAACTGATGCTGAGTGAAGTCAACAGAACCAAGAGAACATTGTACACAGTAACAGCAACATTGTAACAATGACCAACTGCAAATGACTTAGCTCTTCTCAGTGATACAATGATCCAAGACAATCCCAAAGGACTCATGATGAAACATACTATCCACCTCCAGAGAGAGAACTGATATTGACTGAATACAGACTGAAGCAGGCTGGTTTCCACTTTGTTTCTTTCATTCTTTCTCTTTACTCTGGTCTTCTTGTACAAAATGACTGATATGGAAATGTTTTGTGTAATTGCATGTGTATAACGTATGTCGGTTTACTTCCCATCTCAGGGAAGGAGAGATAGAATTTGGAACTCAAAACCTTAAAAAAGTTAAAAAATTGTTTTAACATGTAATTGGAGGGGGGGAATAAAATAAATTTAATTAGATACAATTAAACATAAATCTGATTCGGTGTTAACAATGTATTTTCAGTAATTATTAGGTTTTTGAATAACTAATTAACTATATCTAAAATATAAATAGACATTTAAATTCCATGATTAGATGCCACCTGGCGTAGGGGATGCAGGTAGGAGGCTTGAAGGCAGGAGAATCGCTGGAGCTTCCACAGCGTGGGAACAACGCAGGGCACAGGGGTGGGGGGCGGGGGGCGAAGTGTAGCTGCCGGGCCCAGACCAAGACCCCCTGCTTTCTGACCACTGCCTACTGCGCCAGCGCGAGTATGACCTCTTCTCCGCCTTCCCCCCTTCTCCCCCCCACCCCGTGCGTGAAGAAAAGGGCGGGACACGGAGCACGCAGGCGCAAGGACGTCCTAACGTCCCACCATAGAGGGGGAGGGGCGGGTCCCCGAATGTGTGATGTCACGAGCCGGGGGGCAGGGCGATGTTTGTGGTCCGCAGCTGAACACCGTGCCTGTGAGTTTCCTTGTGTGTTGTTGTGGGTCCGCGTGGGGCTGCTGGGTTTGTGTGTCCTTGCCTTCCTCCGTGTGCATGCATGTATGTGTGTGGTTGTACGTCCCTGTGAGTGTGTGTGTGGTTGCATGTTCCCGTGTGGGTGTGCGTGTGTGGTTCTCTGTCCCTGTGTGGTGGCTCCCCTTGCAGTCGGGTTTAGAGAGTGGTGGTGCGTGATTTGTGTCCCTTTTTACCTCTGTGCGTGTCCGTGTTTTGTCGGGGGTGTGTCCACACATGTTCCCGTGTGGGTACCCGCGCCGTGGGCTTCCCTCGAGGGCTCTGGTTTGCCCTGGATACCTACAGTGATTTCTGTTCGGCTTTTGTCCCCCGTCCCTCCCCCCACCCGTGACCACGCTTTGTGTGTGTGTGCCCGTGCCCGCGCCGTGGGCTTCCCTCGAGGGCTCTAGTTTGCCCTGGACGCCGATGGTGATTTCTGTTCGACTTTTGTCCCCCGTCCGTCCCCCCCCACCCGTGATCACGCGTGTATATGTGTGCCTGCGCCTTGGGCTCCCCTCAAGGGCTCTGGGCCCTTGTGTCGCAGGGGTCCGCACCCTGCTGTCAGCATTGCTGGCGCGCCTGCTGTGTGCCAGGAATCCCCCCTACCCCACCCGTGCTCCCACTCCTCAGCTTTTTCTAGACTGGAAGAAGGAGCAAGACACGACCTGAGGGGCAGAGGGAGGGGATGGCAGCCCTGGGAAAGGGTTTCAGAATCATCCTCAGAACTGCCAACATTTACACGGCCCTGTAAAGAACTTGGCCAAGTGCCTCAGTGCATCGAAAGCTCGACCAGGGCCCAGGAAACTTGTCCAGGCCTGGAGAGTTCCCGGGAGCCTCGAGTCCCTTAGCTGGGCTGGGTCCCAGGCCTGGCTCAAAGCCAGGTCCTCCATCCCCTGTGCCCCATACTAGGCTACCTCCACCATACAGCATTTGCTGTCCTGACCTGGGCTTAGAGGTCAGTGACCCGGCTGGTGCGAAGGCAGCTTCCAACCTGGATGTCCCTGACTCCAGGTCCAGAGATCCAGCTTCCAGGCCAAGCTGCTAGTCAAGGCTGAGCCTTAGGTTGGTTTGAAAGCAGTAGGGAAAGAACCAATAAAGAGATAGGGAAAAGCTGAGGAGCAGAAGGGAGGGGGGATGATGATTAGGGGGCAGTCTGCTGGAGAGAGGGAGACCAGAGTAAAGGAGAAGAGAATGGTGGTGAGGTCAAGGAGCTAGGAGATGCCTCAGTGTGGGTCAGATGGGAAGCAGGGTACTGAGGGGGCAGGGAAAGGCACCCTTGCTTCAGGGCTGTGAGCAGTGGGCTCGAGGGTGCCTCGGGCAGGAGAGAAGGATCTCCTGGTCCATGTCACAGGAAGGGGCCACTGGAG